CCACTCCCCTCCCTGGGCTCAGCACCCTCCCGCCTCCCACTTCGAAGCTCAAGGATGAAGACTTCCCCAGCCTCTGCGCCTCCACGTCCTCCTCCTCCTCTGCAGTGGCGGCCCCAGGCCCTGTGGGGCTGGGGCTCACCTACCCTGTCCCTGCCAGGGGCAGGAGCACCTTCCAGGAGGACGATTTCCCTGCCTTGGTGTCCTCCGCTTCCAGGCCCAGCACTGCCCCCACCAGCCTCATTTCTGCCTGGAATGGCAGTGGCAGCAAAAAGGTGGCACATTCCACCACGGGGGCCCCGGCTGCCGGCGGGGGCAGCCAGCCTGCCAGGAAGGCTGGGAAGGGGGGCAAGGGCAGCAAGAAGGCCGGGCCGCCGCCCTCAGAGGAGGAGGAGGAGGACGGCCGCACCGGCCTCGCCGCCCAGGAGCCGCGGAGCGCGCCTGCCGCGGTAGCCGCCTCCTCCCTCCCAGCGCCGGCCTCCACCCGGACCCTCACCAAGGTCGGCAAGAAGCAGCAGCTGGGCTCAGAGAAGCCGGGTGCCGCCTCGCCGCCCCCACTGCCCCCTGACAAAGATGGGCTCCCTGGGGCCGAGCAGATCCCCACCACGAGCGCTGGCAGAGCCGAGGGGCCCGTTGCCCTCATCGTCAATGGACATACAGAGGGGCTGGCCCCGGCTCGCAACGCGCCCAAGGAACCTCCTGGGCTCCCAAGGCCCCTGGGGCCCCTCCCCTGCCCCACACCCCAGGAAGACTTCCCGGCGCTTGGAGTCCCCTGTCCACCCAGGATGCCCCCTCCCCCAGGTATGTGTGTCTGCCTGCGGCCTGCTTCTGGGCATCTGGGAGGGGGCCAGGGTGGGAGAGTGAGACTGGAGCCCCGGGTCCCAGGGGAGCACACCGTGAGGGGCGGTGATAGGCTAGCAGGCAGGGGAGGGAAGCCTAGTAGCACCACTGACCATGAGCAGGCTGCTTACCCTCCCTGTGAGATGGGGCAACCCTGGCGCTTTCTGGAGCTGGGGGAGGAAGTCTCCGCAGCCGGGATTGCCGTGCAGGAGCTCGGCGTGTGTGCTGCCTCTCGGCCTCCTCGGGCCCTGGGCCTGCTGTCCGGCGGAGGGTGGCTTGCGGGTGGAGCCTGACCTTGGTGGGTTGGGCAGCAGGGGAAGCCTCCCCAGCACGTGGAAAACGGGTCACGATCTGGGTCTTGGTCTGCCTCCCCTACAGGCTTCAATGCTGTGGTGCTCCTGAAGGGCACTCCGCCCCCACCTCCCCCTGGCCTGGTGCCCGCCATCAGCAAGCCACCCCCTGGCTTCTCAGGCCTCCTGCCTGGCTCCCACCCAGCCTGTGTCCCCAGCACTGTCACCACCACGAAAGCGTAAGTAGGGGTGGGCCGCCCCGCCTTGTGCCCCTGGAGGCCGGGGAGTGTCCTCAGCCTGGGCCACCCCAAAGGGCTAAGGCGCCACCTCCTGCCTATTTCCTGACCCTCAGGCCCAGGCTGACAGCTGCGCCCCAGGCCTACCTGGTGCCTGAGAACTTCCGGGAGAGGAACCTGCAGCTCATCCAGTCCATCAGGGACTTCCTGCAGAGCGACGAGGCCCGCTTCGGCAAGTTCAAGAGCCACTCGGGGGAGTTCAGACAGGTCAGCCAGGCAGGGGTGTGGGGGGCCAGCACGGTCACCGCGGGGGCTCAGCCCAGCCTGGGCGTGACTGGCTTTGGCTCTGGGCGGCAGGGCGTGATCTCCGCAGCCCAGTACTACAAGAGCTGCCGCGACCTGCTCGGGGAGAACTTCCAGAAGATTTTCAACGAGCTGCTGGTGCTGCTGCCTGACACGGCCAAGCAGCAGGAGCTGCTGTCCGCACACACGCACTTCCGGGGCCGGGAGAGGCCTCCTGGCAGCAAGGCCAAGAAGAACAAGAAGAGCGCGTGGCAGGGCAGCGCCCGGCCGGCGGGCCTGGACTGCTGCGTGTGCCCCACCTGCCAGCAGGTGCTCGCGCACGGGGACGTCAGCAGCCACCAGGCACTGCACGCCGCCCAGGACCACGACTTCCCCTCCCTGCAAGCCATTGCCAGGATCCTCACGTAGCTCCCGCCAGCGTGGGCAGGAGCTACCACACCCAGGAGCCTCCTTCCTCCTTCCAGGCTGCCACACAGCCAGGTAAGGCCCTGGTGAGGCCACCCGCTCTGGCCCCTCTGCCGGCCAGCCCGCTGGGCTCGCCAGGAAGGCCTGCCTGCCCTGTCCACACACCATCACGTAGGAGTCCATCCGGTTTCCTCCTGGGAAGCGCGAAGACCTCACCCTCCATGGTGGGCTGGGCCGAGTTTGAGTTCTCATGCTTTTGGAAGGTGTGAGGGGAGGGAAGGGCCAGGACGTGGGAACCTGTCCGTGCTGTCAGAGCTAGTGACAACAGCGGCCCTCTCCAGGCCCCCCAAGCCCGAGGGCTGCAGCGCCGCGGCCCCCCAGCCAGAAGCTGTGGAGCCGCCGGTGCCAGAGTCACGTGTTGAGCGTGTTGTGTAAACGGTTGGCTGTTTCGTGATTCAAGAACGTTCAGGATTAAAAGCAGACACGAAATTGTGCTCCTCGAAGTTGAATCTTTGTATGAGACAGCTGAATCCGGGATCTCAAATTGCCTCTGACCTTTTATAAGACCGTGTATCTTCAAATAAATTTATTTTGCAATAATGCACATAGCTGGTTGTTCTGAGCTGCTCTGCCCTCCCAGGTCACCCTGCAGCGAGGGGGACTCAGAGTTGTCCGAGGCTCCAGCTCTGGCGGCCAGCCAGGGCCCAGCTGTGGAGGGGGGTGACCCGTGCACACAGCTGGGCAGCTGGGCTTTGCTCTCAGGACATGGCAGCTGGTCTGGGCCCGGGGCCCAGTCCTGGACATCTGGCACTGCCCAGGCCTTCCAGGAATAGACATGGCCATGTGTGACCTACACTCGTGTCGCCAGTAAAACCATCCCTCCAGAGCATGGGGTCCTACACAGTCCGGGTTTGCACCCACAGATGAGTAGCGAGCTATTAGCAATGAACAGGAACACTCCAGAAGCAGTGGGGGGCGTGTGTGACATCCACCCAGAAAGTAATCTGTGCTTCATTATTTGCATACAGTATGTGGGGAGGGGACCAGACAGAAAACACCCCTTTTCTGCCTGAAACACGCAAATAGCAGAAGACAGTTCTAAACACAGCCAAATCAGGCACAGGAAATGTCTTCACATGAGAAGAAACATGTCTCTGGGAATCGGGGAGGGGGCGCCCACAACCACGAGGGGCCAGGGCTCAGGGCCCCTCCACAGACAAGAGCCTTCACTCTCGTTACCCTCCCCTGGCCTGTGTGGAGGCCACCTGTCTTCCCTGGACAGGCCGGGAGCCCCTCACCACTGATGCCCCCTTTGCAGACCCGAGGACAACCAGCCCCACAGAAGAGTAATCTGGAAAATGGGGGACCTCGTTAACAGTGAGGAAAATCAGCTATCCTTCATGACGGAAGAACCACCTCACCACACGGCACCGCTGAGGGGGTGTGGCGCTGTGCCAAGCCCAGCTCAGTGGCCCCACCCCATGGCCGCAGCTATGACCGTCCTCTTTGGGAAGGGGAGCCCGGGGCACAGACAGGAGACTTGCCAGAGACAGCCCTGCCAGCCTCGATGTGGCAAAGCCAGCCCTCCAGCCCCAGGGGCAGTTCTCAGCCCTGCTGCTCTTGGCTGGGACCTTACTACACAGACCTGAGCAAGTAACCGACATAAAGATCCCAGTGGATGGGTTCGGAAGCAAACAGGACCAATCTGGGGAGATTCCAGAGGCTGAGCTGGTGGGCCGCGGAAGGTGGCTCTGCAAGCCTGCCACCTGAGCACCCGACAGGGCCCCAGAAAAGACGGCGACACGTAGACACAATGACTGCTTTTCCGTCGTGGGGTGAGGAAAGAAAAACTAAACAAGCACTAGGTGCCTGGCCGGCTTTGTGGGAGGACCATGTGACTCGATCTCAGGGTCCTGAGTTCAGTCCCCACGGTGGGTACAGATTTACTTAAATAAAAGTAAATCGTTATTAAAAAAAAAAAAAAAAGTGGGACGGGGCACCTGGGTGGCTCAGTGGGTTGAGCCTCTCCCTTTGGCTCAGGTCATGATCTCAGGGTCCTGGGATCGAGCCCTGCATCGGGCTCTCTGCTCGGTGGGGAGCCTGCTTCCCTCTCTCTCTGCCTGCCTCTCTGCCTACTTGTGATCTCTGTCTGTCAAATAAATAAATAAAATCTTAAAAAAAGCGTGGGACGCCTGGGTGGCTCTGTCAATTATACATCTGCCTTTGGCTCAGGTCATGATCCCAGGGTCCTGGGACCGAGTCCTGCATCGGCTCCCTGCTCAGCGGGGAGCCTGCTTCTCCCTCTGCCTGCTGCTCCCCCTGCTTGCGCTGTCAAATAAATAAAATCTTAAGAAAAAAAAGCACTAACAAGAATAATTCTTTAAAAAGCTACATCTCGACACAACACAATTTAGAAAAAAATCCCAATACGTTCAACCAAAGGGGAAAAAACAACCCGCTAAGGAATACGAATCATACTGTTACCACTGCTCTCGTCAACAGTCTGGGATCCTAAAAGATAACACAGGAAAGACCTTCAAAGTTCTAAGGAACAGGACCTCACATTTATAGTCGCAGGAAAACTATCCTTGAAGAACACGGGAGTAGCACAAAAGAAGTTCACAGCCGCAGACCAATGAACGAACTGTGAACGATGTGCAACTGCAAGTAGTAATTGCTAACCCCACTGTTCTAAAAAGGAGCAGAGGTGGGCGTCTCCCCAGCGTTTCCGAGGGTCAGCTCTGAGCAACCCAGGGGCAGCCCAGCCGGATGCGCATGGGGAGCCTCAGGAATCCCCAGGATGTGGACGTCGGCCTGGCCTCCACCTGCTGCCCCTTCCTGGGTTCTGGGCCCCGAGAGGGCCGGTCCCAACCTCAGGCACCCACAGGGACAGGGTTAGAAATGACTCCGCGAGCCGAGCATCTGCGCCACGTGAACTCACAGTCTTTTATTGTAAAGAAGTTGCGGTTGAAACATGGGACACGGGAGATACACAATCACGGAGTGTTCTTTCAGAAGAGAGAGAGAAAGATCCATATATACAAAAATTGTAAACATGTTCACTTAAATACCCACATGGTTGTCTATGCTACAACGTACAGGGGAGTCACGCAACCGGGACTCCAGAGGGAGGTGCCTGTCTGCGAGAACGTTCTGTAGTGACATGATGTGAAAAGCCGGCTTTGAGCGATGCATGAGTAGTCAGCTACGCAGAGGGACCCCAACCTCGGGCTGTGCCTTAAAACGGGGTGCAGGGCAGGTTGCTGAGGGGCTGGGCCAGGAAGCTGAGGGTAAAGGGGTTTGCACAGATGGGCCGTGTCCAGGGCACTGTGGGTACATGGAGCCTCTTGGCCTCCCTCCTTGTGAGGAACCTGTCCTGCCAGGAACCCAGGTGTCCCAAGCCTCCCTCGAGCAAGGTCTTACCGAAGGGGTGGGAGAGGGCCGGTGCGACAACAGCCATGTTGTGCCTTCCTAGCCCCAAGTGCTCACATCTGGGCAGACTCCTGGGCCAAGGGCGATAGGGGCAGGAGCAGGGGCCACAGGCAGTGGGGCTGCTTGCGGGGAACTACGAGGTGAAGTCCGAAGACTTGACCACAATCACAACATCGACAGGACCAGGCTACTCTAGCGAACCCGTGAGAGCAAACGGATGGGAGGCTCCAGACAGACTACACGCAGCCCCATGGGGTGAACCACCACCACAGGACCAGGGACTGTCACTACCCCTAGGGACATGGGATGGGAGCAATGCCCATGCTCCCGGGGACAGCCCCTGCACGTAGCTACAGAGGACGGCTAGACCCCTGACCCCAGAGTGGACAGGTGAGCCACGGGCTAGCTGGCTCGTGAGGGGAATGGCCCCTTCGCAGGCTGATCCACTAGAGACTGGAGGATACATGTCCAGGGCTGCACTGTCCCCTCCTCAGGACCTCAGGCCTGCGCTCAGCGACTAAGGGGACAGGGTGAACTTGGGGTCGGGGGCAGCCTAGGCACCCTGGGGGCTACCCTCTCTTGGCCACAGACGGCCCACAGTGGCCACCGTCTCTGGCCCTGGCGCTAGGCCAGGAGGACCTGAGGGAGGTCCCAGGAAACCCTGGACCCTGGCTTGGGGGCAGCCTTCGATCCCCGGTGGGGGCCTGCCGGCCACTAGTAGGCAGGCACCTGGTACCCTTTGGGGCTGGTGTCCAGGGTCTCGGTGAAGGGAGGGCTCTGGTAGGTCTCGGTGCCCTCCACGCCGCTGCCCACCGGGTAGCCAGGGTAGGCCTGACCCGCCCCGGCGCCCAGCTGTTCGGTGGCAAAGAGCGACATGTCCGTGCCCAGGCGGAACCGCTGCAGGGCCTTCACAGTGAGCGCCACCTGAGGGGGAGCCCGGGGTCAGCCAGCACCGACCCCGCCCCACCCCGGCCCCGGCCCGGCCCCCGCCGGCCGCACTCACCCAGCTGAGGATGGAGAAGAAGCTGAAGGCGATGGCGGACCTCGCCGCGTCTCCCGCCTGCAGCGTGCCGGGCCCGGGCGGCGTGCGCTGCCACTGGTTGGTGAGGAAGCAGAAGCCCACGAACCACAGGAAGGACCAGAGCCCTGCGCGCAGGCGTGAGGGTTAGGGGAGGCCGGCGCGCAGGCCCCGCCCCCAAAGCCAGAGGGCCGCCCATTCCCCGCCCACCTCCGGGCCGCGCCTCAGAAAGCGCGGGCTAGCCCCGCCCCCCAGCCCGGCCCGCCCACCTGAGAAGCCCAGGTCCAGCAGCACAGCGCGGCGGCGGTCGCGGACGCTGCTGATCTGCTGGAAGCGCAAGTCGAGCCCCAGGAAGGCGGCGCAGGCTAGGAAAGCCCCAAGGCCGAGGGCGACTCCGAAGCGGCAGGCGCCCGCGTTCCCGTTGAAGACGCAGCGCAGCTCGGGCCCGCTGTCGGTGTTCACGTAACCCTCGTTGACGATGGGCCCGAAGACGGCGATGGAGAACACCTGCGGGCGGCGGGCGGCGCTCAGGGCCCTGCGGTGGTCCCCTTACCCGTGGCCACCCAGCGTGACTGCTCACGTTCTCTGGCCTGTCCCCACGTTCCCCTGCAGCACAGGCCCCATCTGTGGATGGGGTCTTCGGGCACCCCTCTAAATACCTCCCTCAGGTATCTAAAATTATGGACAGTATTGCTATTTAGTGAGCATCTATTATGCCCAAGCACCAGGCTTAAAACCGCTACTTTACATGCATTCCTCCTAGAATCCTCCCCCCAAACCACCGGGGGGCCGTTGTTATCCCCTTCATAGATGGGAAAATTGGAGCTTCAGTTAGTGAAGTCACTTGGCTGATAAAAGACGGGGCTGACAGTCAAACTGGGTCACTGGCACATTGTGGGGCCCACAGGGTCTCTGCACAGCCCCCTAGACACTGTAGGAACAGGAGCCTTCACCTGGACCAGTGATTCCTAGGCTCCAGTGGGTGGCGCTGTGGGAGGCAGGTGTGGAGAAGAGGGGGGCCAGAGCACAGGGGGGAGCAGCACAGGGACAGTGGTAAAGCTGTCACCCAGGCCCTGCACGGAACCCACCCTCAGCATCTGGGAGCTGTGTGGCCCTGCTTCCTAACATGCCAAATAGAGTAACAGGTCCAGTTCGTGGAGTGTTGGGGCCAGAGAGAATAACGACCACCCAGCATCCACTGTTGGTGAGCCCCGGAGGGATGATAGCCTTGTGTGGCTGATTAATAGCAGCACCGTAAGTGTTTGGGTTCAAAGGCAATACTATTGGGGCACCTAGGAGGCTCCATCAGGTGAGCATCTAACTATTAATTTCGGTTCAGGTAGTGATTTCATGGGTCATGGATTGAGCCCCGAGGAGGGCTTCATGCTTAAAGGGGAGTACACTCAAAATTTTCACTCTTCCCCAGTCCTCCCCCAATTCGTGCACGCTTGCTCTCTCGCTCTCTCTCACATAAATAAATAGATAAATAAATCCTTTTTTAAAAAGGCGATACTCTTGGGGCGCCTGGGTGGCTCAGTGGGTTAAGCCTCTGCCTTCGGCTCAGGTCGTGATCTCAGGGTCCTGGGATCGAGCCCCGCATCAGTCTCTCTGCTCAGCAGGGAGGCTGCTTCCCCCCCACCCCCCTGCCTGCCTCTCTGTCTGCTTGTGACTTCTCTGTCAAATAAATAAATAAAGTCTTAGAAAAAAAAGGGGGGGGGGGCGATACTCTTGATCTCTGGGATTCACTCACTCTCAAGTTCAGCATCCCCTCACCACAAGGGCTGGAAGGCAGGTAGGCAGTAGACCATAGTCATTTTATACTTTTTTTTTTTTTTAAAGTAGGCTCCATGCCAAGCGTGGGGTTTGAACTCATGACCCTGAGTCGCATGCTCTAAAGACTGAGCCAACCAGGCGCCTCTGGACCATCATCATTTTAAACCAGACACTGCTCTTTTAGCTCTGGGTAGCCCTGTGTTTCTAAAAAAAGACCTCCAGTTTCAACTTGATTTCTCCTCTCCCTCTCCAGCTCCTTGAAATGGAGTCAAGAGGGAAACCCAGGTGCAGGGCATGGACACGTCGGCCCAGAGCGGTCCACAAGTTGGACCCGAGCTGGCAACAGAACATAGGGTTCCTACTTCCTAATCTGCACCGAGTCACCCCACCCTGGGCATTGCTCTCCTTGAAGACCAGCCATTCCGTGCAGCTGGCAGCAGGAGCCACCAGCTAAATAAAACCCAGAGATCCTCGCCCCACCTTCCCGTCTCTCCTGCCTGGACAGGTGGGAAGGAGGAGCAGGCCACCTGGCCTAGGGATGCCTCAGGAGTCTAGGCGGTCCCCAAATCTGCCCCTCCCACACCACCCCCAGGAAGCCCTCCCCGGGCAGAGCCCCTTCTTGCTGCCCCACCCAGAGGGATCCCAGGGCACCCCCCACCCCCCGCGCGGGCACACACACACACACACACACACACACACACACTTGCACCTGGAGGGCCTGGGAAAGGGCCAGCTCCCCTGGAAGGAGCCTGGAGGGTGTGTGTGAGGGAGAAGCAGGTGTAAGCGCCGGCTGGTAATACTCGGCTCCCATAGCACCCTCCTCTTGCTGAGGCTGAGGGCTCAAATCCAATCCCGTCCCCGCCCCTGTGTCCGCTTCCAGGTCGTGAGGACAGGAAAAACGGGGCGGGGGCTGAGAAGGGGACTGAGTTACACCTAAGGAAGAACTGGAGGATGGGGGCGTAGGGCGGTGACCTCTCAAGGTCCCCGGCTGTTGCCATCGGCCCCTCCCCCTCCCGCAGGTGGGCGCGCCCAGCCCGGTGACGTCACCCCAACCTGCGGCCGGCGGGGGAGGGGCCGGCGGGGACGAGGATGGAGTCGAGGGGCGAGGGGCGAGGGTAGCGGGGAGGGACGTGGGATGCAAGGCGAGGCGGGACCCGAGACCGGGGCGGGGGCGGGGGCCGGGGTCACTCACCCAGGACGCGACCCGCAGTAGGGTCTGGGGCCGGCGCGCGAAGCTCACGGGGTCCAGGGCGGCCCCCGCGCGGCCCGCGCCGAACGAGGCTCCCTCCATGGCCAGACCAGGAGGGACGCGCGCCCCCGACACCCTCTGTCTGTCTGTCCGTCCGGCCGGCCGGCCCCGCCCGAGGCCGCCCGGGTGTGCTGCCGAAGCTGCTGGTGCTGCCGCTGCTGCCGCCGCCTCCCGGGAGCGCGCGCCGGCCGCGACTGGGGCGCGCGGGGCGGGGCCGAGCCCGTGCCCCCCGCCCACTGGTCCGCGTGCGGGGCTGAAGCCCGTCCCTCCCTCCGCCGCCCCGCCCACCCCCCTTCACCTGCTAGAGCCGGGTCTGAGATGGGAGACCACCCCCAAGCCCCCAAGAGGGGCACTGGGGGGCTGGGGACTGAGTCCACCACCGCCCCCACACAGGCGAAGTCAGGAGTCAGCAGGGGGGTGGACACCAGGCTCAGGCGAGAGGACCGGCAAACCTGACCCCGCCCCTGGGAGCTGGGCCCTTTCGAGTAAAGGGGTAACCCAGGTCCAAGGGCTCCCGCTTCTTCCCAATGGGCGGAGCTCCACCCTCCAGTCCTCAGGGAAGGGGAACCTGACTCCCTGAACCAGGTTCCCCTTAGACCAGAGATCAGTTACTGGGCCCTTTCCTATAACCCCCTCGCCCCAACTGCAACCGCAGCTTCTCCATCAGGGTTCTAGCCTCCCTATCAGGGAGGGAGAAGGCCTCTGCCCCCCAGCGGCACTTGTCCGGGAGGTCAAGCACACAGACCAGCTTGGGTGGGAGCTGGGACATCTCTGCTCCTCTCTTGTGGCCAGATGTTGTCATTCCAAGAGCGCTCACTGAGCCCTTCACACTCCTGGGTCTCCCCAACTGACTTGTGGCTGGCATGTTGAGTTTGGGGCTCAGGGATGGGAAGAAGCGTGAAAGATGGGGGCCCCTGCTGGGCTCTTCGGGAGCTCCCGCAGCCCGAGCTTGACAGCGTCCCTCCCTCACGCGGCTTCCTGGCCGGCCTGGCAGGGTCCCGGATGACTGTCCAGGGCATTGCAAGAAACGTCTGTCTTTGCTGAGCATGTACAGTGCCAGGCCCTTCACAAGCCCCATGGACGACGGAAGGGACTGATTACCCCTGTCTTCATACTGCACGTGGACCACTGGCTGAGTTCTTCCAGCACATCACGAAGCCCCTGGCCATGCTGTTCCTGTGGATGGAAGGGGACACCGGGCTCGCCCCTTGTGGGTCCCACCCCAGGGCAGTTGTGGCCAGAAGTGTCACCCACCAGTCTCACTACCGGTCCCTGACACTGTGCATCCCGTCCGTCACTGTGTCTGGCGGTGACAGCACCTGATCTGTCTTGACCAGTGGCCACTTCCCCCTTTGGTCCCAGGGCGATTCAGACATGCCCACCCTCCTGGAAATGCTTCCGGATGTCACCCCCTCCTTATGTCCCTGTTTCACCAGTCCCTTCTCACCACCCTTTTAGGGTTCTCTCCTCTTGTAACCCTGTGAGCCCCTGTAATCTCTGAACCTTGGGAGCCCAAGGGCATGATCCTGCGACTTTTCTCCCCCTCTCTGCCCAGTCCCTCCGTGAGAGTCCTGACGGCTTGAGCCAGAACCTCCCCTTGAACTACAGTCCCACTTGTCTTAGCCCGGCTTAGGGGTGAAACCTCCAGGAAGCCAGAGTTAGGGGAAAAGGGAAGTGAGGCAGGACAGGAGAGCACGTCCAGGTGCCGCGTTCCTGAGCCAACGGCTTCCCTGGAGAAGCTGGCTGGTTCTCCGACTAGCAGGTGACGTGGGAGAGGCCAGAAGAAAGCCATGTGTTGGGAACAGTCCCTCGAGGGGAGGAGAGAAGAGCGATTTCTGTTGGCTGCTTCCTGCTTCCAGTTTCTTTGCCTTGCTGTCCTCTCTGGGAAGGCGCTGCTGAAGTCAGGCCCCCCGTGGTGCCCGCGGGGTGAAGGTGCGGAAGAAGCTGTGCCGAAGGGAAGGACTAAGACACCACAGGGAGAGGGAGGACCCGTGCGTGATGACCACAGGGATGGACACACCGTTGCTGGGCCATGCGGGCTGGCAGCCAAGTCCGGGGGCGTGTGGCCGGGCAGACCTGGCAAGGGCCAAAAGCTACACGCCAGTCACCCCATGCCTGCTCTGCCTATAGTGTTCTCCAGAGCACGGATACGGGAACAACTTCATCCTCTCAGCTGCTCAGGCCCGAACCCCCCAGTCAACTCTGTCGATCTGCTCTGACCCGTCCTGGGCAAGCTTCCCGCTCAGCTCCCACAGGGGTGCCTGCCCTCCCTTGCTCCCACCCATACCTGCGCCTCATCCTAACTCAGCAGCCGGAGGAACCTTCCAGAAGTCATCTTGCCATTCCTCGGCTCCAAATCCTCCAAGACCTTCTGGTCACAAGAGGTGGGTATTAAAACAGAGTCCTTGCTGGGGACGTGAAGACTTCATGCCAGCTGACCTCCCACTCACCCCTGAGCCTCCCTCCGCTCTGGCACTGGGCTTCCTTCCTGTTCCTGGTGCTTCCCAGGCTGCTCCCACCCTGGGACTCTGCCCTCCTTCCCCAGAGCAGAACCTGGATGGAAGGAGGCAGCTGAGCGGAGCAGCAAGCGCAGGCCCTGTCTGTCGCCCCAAGTCCCAGCACAAAACACACCAAAGCCAGGCCCTTAGTCACTTCTCTACCATTTTATTTTGGTCTCGAGCTCTGAGAACGGTGGCCCCGCGAAGCCTCTTGACAGGCCTGGTACAGGTGTACGTGCTGGACAGGAAGCAGGCAGCAGTGCGGGTGGGACCGCCGGGGAAGCCACCCTGCCTGTGCTTGCTCTGTAGGAACTGACCCGGGAGGAGAGCTCAGCCCCCAGGCCTCCCTTCTGAGTCGCAGAAAGCACAGAGCCCACGGAGCTGTGGGCACCGCTGCCGTCCCTTGCTACAGGGTAAGGAGACAACGGCCTAGCCCTCAAGGAGCAGGACAGGGAGCCTGGGCAGGCCCGTCACCTTCCTGTGCAGGGAAGTGGGCACCAGGATGTGGGGTGAGCAGGAGGCCACATCCCAAATGGAAGGCGCAGCCCCGGCTGTTCCTGCCTCCTTCATCTGCAGTCCCACGGGCCTTGGCTGAGGAGCAGCCCTTGGGGTGTCTGCAGCAGGCACCCCTGCTTTTCCTCCAAGCCTAAGAGGGAAGGGCCCCCTGAGCAGTGTCTGGGGACCATCCAACTGACACACGACAGGCTCTGACTCTGACGCACTTTAATGAGTGCCCTGTCCCCCTCTGGCCAGGCTGCGTGGAGGCCTGGGCTGCTGTCCCACAGCTCTGCCGGCCACTGCCTAGTCGCAGGAGCCGTCCTTCCAGCCATCACGCCAGCGCTCGTCCACCTGTGAGCAGTCGAAGTCGGGCTTGCCCAGCTTGCGGTTCACCTCGTTGTGCAGGCGGCACAGCCACTGGCTGAAGCGGGCCCGAGTGCGTGTGTCTGGCTGGTTCCTGCATATCCTGTGGGGAGGCGGGGCAGGTGGAAGGCGGGACAGGCAGCGGTCCCACCGCCCCTGCCCCACCGGCTCTGTGCCTGCTCCCTCCGGGCAGGAGAGCTGGGGCGCTGCTGTCAGGTACACCCAGGAGGGCCCTTGTGCTCTGAGACACAGACACACGCAGCCCTGCAACCCTCCCACATTGGCACGCTCTTAGGCCTGCTCAACCCTTACCTGGGGAGCTCGGCCAAACCTGACAAGGACTCAAAGCAAGGCATTAAGACACCAATGATGCAACTTTACAACCTCGTAACAATCAGGAAGCCTCGCCCCAGCATCCCTGGCCCCAGGCAGTGTTTAAGGGGTGGGGCCACACAAAGGCCTAACAGAAAACCTGTTTCTAGCACCTGGGGCCCTGGGGCCTCCGCCCAGCAAGAAAGCTGTTCTAACTGCCCTGGCCCCCACATTCAGCACAGAAACAGAGGTGCCAAACAACAGCTCTTGGGCTCCCCAGTGAGGAAAAGGCAGCTCCTAAAATCAGTGGGTTCTCAAGGCCTTAAAATTGGCAGTCCGACTCCAGACGTCAGGCAAGGTGGGCTCACGAACCTGCCGGAGCCTCCAGGAGGACTCTGCAAGTGAGGCCGGGCTGGGAGCCTCTGGAGCAGCAGCCCCATGCAGCTTGGCCCTTAGGGGGAAGGAGACAGCTGGGTTGATCCAGTGCCCACTGCTGGTGGTCCATGCTGGGGCTACTCTGCCACCAGGCACCTGCTTCTCCAGGCTCCCCTTTATGACATCAGGGGGGTGGGGGCGACAGGCCCCGGCTCCAGGGGCACTGCTCTGCAGTCTATGGATGATGCGGACACACTTACCTCTTCCTTATATCTTCAGCACACTCCTCACACGGATAAAACTTGGAAAATAAATGTATGAACTGGGCCATGTCTTGCTGCTGTTCTGGGGTGGGCAGATCAGGGTAGTAGGCAGCCAGGGTGTGGAGGACAGCCCAGCTGTGCCGGCCCAGTTCCTCGCGATCCTGAGGACAGTCTTCCCTAAATTTGCTGTCCCGCTGCGGAAGGAGGCCGACCAAGGGTCAGTTCGTCTCCCCAGAGGAAGCCCGCAGAGCTCCCGTTTTCCCCCGCCCCAGCCAGAGGCCCACTGACTCGAGACAGCCCTGCGGCCGCCGATCCGCCACATGCGTGGCTGAAACCCTAAAGGCCGGGCCTCCCTTGGTGGCAAGGTTTAGGGACAGCCCCCTTGCGGGGTAGGGCACAAGTCTGTGAGGCATAGGGCCCGCGGGACCGCTCGGCTTGGGCCTCGGGAGGTGGGCGCGGACGCCTGACAACCAGGCGTGGCGGCCGGGACCAGGGGAGGTGGCCGCCCCGGGCATCTGCACCTTCTGCTGCGTCCGCATCCATGTCTTGAAGTCCACGCAGGCCCGGCAGGGCCGCCTCCGGGAGGTGTCCTCGGCGACCTGAGGATCGGAGGCCGGCGCCGGGGCTGGGGTCGGGGCCGAGGCGACAGCATCTCTCCGCCCCGCGCCCCGGCCGCGCGCGTCCGTCACCAGGTCGTCCATCACCTCCGAGCGCGCGCCGCCGGGCAGGAAGGAGAAGAGGCTCCCGCCGCTGAAGCGGCCCCGCTCGCCGGGCGCCGCCATGTTGCCCGCGCAATGCCTGCCGGGCCAGCTCGGCCTCCAGATGGGTCTCCAAGTCGGTCTCCAGGCCAGCGCGCGCGCCGCCGCCAGGGCGCGGCCACAGGAGCCGGCCGCGCGCGCCGCGGCCGCGGGCACGGGCGCGGAGGCGGTGCTCGAGCTGGGGGCGGGGTCCGGCGGAGGGGCGGGGCTCTGGTCCGCGGCGCGCGCCCGAGAGGCCGCAGAGCCCGAGGCCGGGGACCGGGCCGGCGCGGGCGCGGGCGCGGGCGCGGGCGAGGGGTCGGAAACCCGGGTGCCGGCCGCGCCCCTGGGCCTCGATCCGCGTCCCGAGCCTGACTTGCGTCGTCCGTGGCGGCGCTCCCGCTTCCTCCAGTAGAAGAGCAGCGTGTTGTGGAAACCACGCCGCGGCCGCGCGGTGGACTCAGCCTGCGGCCGAGGCGAAGCCCGTGTTCCGGCCCGTGACGCCCCCATCGCTCCGCTCTGACCGCCCCGCGTGCCCGCGGCCAGGCTCTGTGCCCTCAGCTGGGGCGCGCCCCGAGGCCGGCCGCGCGGCGCCCTGGCAACGCGGGGTGGCGCGGTGAGCGCACAGAGCGCCGCTCGCGTTAGGGCCTGGGTCCCGCGGGTCCGCCCGGGCGACCGGCGCCACGGCAACGGGTCTCTGGGCTCCTGAGGGCACCGCGTAGCCTGGATCCTATAGCCTGCCTGAAGGGGTTAAGAGCCATGTCGCGAGTGGCCGCAGCTTCTATACGTACACTGATTCACCCTGCAAATATTTGTGTAGTGTCTAATCGGTTCCAAGTGCCGGGCCAGGCCCTGGCCAGGGCGGGGCGCAAGATCCGTCCTGGACCTCCTCCCTGGGCTCATTGTCCAGTGGTCGAGACGGAAAAAGCAAGAACAAAACAAAAAAGTGGCACACTAACGAATATTCCCTGACAAATGGGGGGACGACGAACAGGCATGGTAAATCCAGGAGTTCTCCTTGAGGAGGTGACACTTAGGCAGAGGCCTAAAGGAAGAATAATCAGCTGAGGGAGGGCAGTCAAGGCCAAGGTTGGAGGTGGGCATGGGCAGAAAGGCCGGTGGGAGGGGACCTGGGGAAGGTGCTGAGAGGAGAGATCCAAAGGTAGGCAGGAGCACACGGAGGGCCTTGTCAGCAGGCATGGGAACTGGGAATTTAAGGACCATGGGGGAGGACAATTTGGGGCAGGGCTACCCCAAGCAGATCCCCTTTGTGTTTTGCAAAGACTCCCCTGGAGGGTGCATTTCATAGGAGCTAGTGAGGAGCACGGGGTGTGGGTGGGGGTCGTCCAAGGGATAGATGAGCCTGGGGTCTATGGAGAGAGAATGGAAAGGAACCAGGGTTGCTGGGGTGTGAAGCAGGGGCTTCCGGCTGGGGCAGAGAGGGGGCCTCAGCACTCTTCTAGAGATTTCTGGCCGTGAATAAACAGGCCCTCTCCCAGCTTTTCTCCTTATCTTCAAGGGGAGAAGTGTCTGCCCCACCCTGCCCCCTGCCAGGCCAGCTGGGACCTCAGCATGGCCCCCACTGAGGTTGGGAGAGCGTGACAACTGGGCTGAAGGTGGTCTGCAATTGAGGCCTGTGTCAGCAGGTGTTCATTGCCTGCGCCAAGACCAGGAAAAGTTTGAGAGCGCTGGTAGGACGGGTGCACAAAGGCCCTTTGTCAAGGCTAGGGTGATTTCTGGGAGGGATGCCCTAGAGGCTAACCCCTCCCTGGACAGCTTGGGGTAGGACTCCCAACCTAGAGCTGGTGGCCCCAACAGCAGATAGAGCCAATGTATACCAGGGTTGGATGGAGGTCTGGAAGACTTCGTTATAAGGAAGCAGCCCAGAGACGTCGCTATAAGGAAGCAGCCCACAGACCTGGGGGCACCAGAGCACCCCCGTCCGGGGATTCTAGGGCCCAAGCCGTCTTCACCCCAGTTAGTGGGGGAATGGTGGCTCCTGCTCTCGGAGGCTGTGTTTGCAGTAAATTGTGACAAAAATCATGCATTCAGAGGCAGCTCTCAAAAACCAGTCCTAGTCACCCCGCCGTCCCCTGCCAAGTGCCAGCCACTGCAGAGGGATCCTCTTTGTCCTGCCCCAAGTCTTCCCACCACGGGGGAACCTCTGGGGTGAGCCTGCAAGGTCCACCCCCCCAACACATCCAGAAGAAGTGACATTAATTATCCATTTAATACAAATTTCCTCTCCTGTGACTTGGAAACATTAAGAGACCTTTCCTGCAATGTATTAAGCCAAACAAAGTACATAAAGGTTTCAGCACTGGGTCCTTGCTTCCTGATGACAACAGCAGTCAGCTTCCCGGGTGAGTTCAAAGACAGAGCCATGGGGCACGCCCTGGAGGAGGTTCCACTAGTCCCAGCACCCCAGCGGGTGTGGGAGAGCCAGGAGGGGTTCGCGAGGCCCACAGCGCTTTGATGGCTCTGCTTACCTCCTCCTAGCACAAGCCAGACTCATGCCTGAGGGACTCAGGCCGCAGTCCCCACCCTCTGCTGTCTCTCTGCCCCACCCTGCCCCCTCACACTTCTCAAGCCCTGTGTTCCTGTCTCTCAGATCTGCTTTGGGCGCAGTGAGGAAGGTGGGAAAGATCTAGGGGCAGGGCAGCGATAGGAGGACCTGGCAGGTCTGGGGCATACCTGGGGAATTCCAATCAGTCTTCCGGGTGCTCAGGAGCTCCCTTCCTTCTCCCCCCTACCCCAGTGTGAGCCAGGACACAGTGGGACGCTAGGCCACACCCTGCCAGCTCCAGAAGCCCAGGACTGTGACCAGTGCAGCACAGCAATGGCCAGCCCCCGGTACCCGGTGTCCGTGTGTGCAGCGGCCCTAGTCCAGACAGCGCGGCATCAGGTATGATGGGGGCGGGGTGGGGGTGGTGTGTGTCCCTGCCACCCCCAAGGAAGAAGGATTTCCTGGCCCAGACACTCCAAGGTGCCCCCAACCTTTGTGCCAAACAGACATTTGCCTTCTCTGTGTGCTGGTCGGACGGCAGCGACACCTTCGTGCGCAGGAGCTGGGATGAGTTCAGGAAGCTCCATGTGAGTGAGCCTGAGGTGAACCCCATTGCCCCAGCAGCCTGACCCTCCAATGCCCCTGGCTGGGTGTTGGCCCTTGCGCCCACGAGGGCGTCCAGCTCTTGCGACACCCAGCCTGGCAAGGGACCCTCACCCTCCCAAGGGAACAAGTGAACTCTGAGACCGACTCGCTGGTTCTCCCTTAGAAAAGCCTCAAGGAGACCTTCCCGGTAGAGGCGGGCCTACTGCGGAGATCCGACCGCGTTCTCCCCAAGCTTCCCGGTGAGGCCGTTAGCGAGGCCGGCAGGGATCCCGGAAGGGGCAGGGGTGCCAGCGACCTGGTGGAGGGAACCCTGGGGTGGGGTCCCACGGTCCCTTCCCGTCGTGCCCGCAGACGCATCGCTATTGGTGCACGGGGGGCGCACAGGCCGCGGCCTGGCTCGCCTGCGGCTGCTGGAGACCTATTCCCAGACGCTGCTGACCGTGGCGGCGCGCGTGTCCCGGAGCCCAGCGCTCAGCAACTTCTTTGCACCGCAACCCCTGGACCTGGAGCCCACGCTGCCAGCCGGCAGGTGCCTCACTCATCCCCAACTCCCTGCCCGCAAAAGCACTTGGGGGATGGGGGATGGGAGAAGGCTGGGCGGGTTGGGGAGGGGCAGCAGGCCCTCACCACACTTCCTACCCGCCCCTCGCTGCGTGCTACCCTTCCCAGTCTGCTGATCCTGCCAGCTCCCGAAGAGCCCCTAGGCCGCCCGACGGACACCCTGGCCATCCGTGGCCTGGAGGCTCAGAGCCTGCGCTGCCTGCAGCCCTTCAGCACCCAGGACATGCAAGGCTGCCCTTTCCACGCACGGGCCTGGGAGGTCCTAGACGTGCTGCTGCGGCACCCCTCAGGTGGGGCCAGGCAGGATGGAGAGAACTCACCCTCTGCCCCCAGGACCGGAGCGGGCTTGTGGGGGGGGGGGTCTGAGCCTCCATGCACCTCTTGCACACAGGCTGGTGGCTGGTGGCGAACGAAGACCAGCAAACAGCATGGTTTCCTGCTCCGTACCTGGAGGAAGCAGCCCCCGGCCCACAACAGCAGCCCTTAGGGAGCAGTGGTGATTACCCATCCCCCAAAACCAAGCCAGCCACTACCACTGGGCAGCGTGTGGCAAAGCTGGGCCACAGGGAACAGCCGAGCGAGTACTGGACATGGGGACAGTGTACTTGGTCCGCAGACTGAGTGGGAGCACCAGTGGGTTTGAGTGGCCCCCATCATCAGAGGAATGCCTGAAAATGGTGACTCCATGGGAGGAGATGGGACAGGTCAGGGCCCTGGCCCCCGGCGCCCCGCAGCGACCCCCAAATACCCACTCCGCAGGGTCTCAGTTCTGCGCTTCCCAAGCCTATGAGAGCAGCCACGCAGATGAACTCTCCGTGCCTGCCGGGGCGCGCGTGCGCGTGCTGGAAATGTCGGATCGGGGCTGGTGGCTCTGCAGGTGCAAGGGCGAGGGGCTTGGGCGGGGCACAAGGTGGGGGGGGCAGGATCCAGCGCGCGCTCTAACCCCGCCCTTCTAAGCCCCACCCTCCTCGCAGGTTCGGCGGGCGCTGCGGTCTCCTTCCCGCTGTACTGCTGCGACCTGAGGGGCTAGGCGCGCTCCTGAATGGGTCAGGGCTCCACCGCAAGCAGGACAGTGAAGACGCCAGGGTGGGAGATCCCCAACGTCCCCCAGAGACCCCCCAAGGCACAACGCTACCCCCTACGGTGCCCACCCACCCTCCGCTCAGCGCCATTCGTAGCCGCTGCTGTACCATCACACGCAGGGCGCTGGCACGGAAGGACCCTCTCCAGGGCGAGTGGAGCTCCGCAGAGGGCAGGCCCAAAGCTCCAGACCCCGGGGATGACCGACGCTAGCCTAGCCGGGCCCCCGCACCACGGCTGTGGGAGGAGTACCTGGGGGTGGGACCTCTGACTGGCGGGGCCAGGAAACCAACCTCCCCCATGTCCCGAGTAAAGCTCTTCCCACCGAGGCACAAGCTGGTGTCAGTGCTGAGGGGCAGGCTGGGGGCTGGGGTGAGACGCAGAGCACACACAGAGAGTCCGGATAGAGCAGGGCTGCTCGGTTCAGAGAGCTGAGGGGGCCACAGAGGGGGCCGCGGGGAGCGTGGGCAGCTTCATGTTGTGCCACAAGAAGTCCAGGAAGGCGGCTGCCTGCAGCGTCCGGCTGAGCCGCTGAAAATGCCGCTCTGGGGAGGACACAGGGCGTCAGCGGCTCCGCGGGGGCTGGCCGGCTGCTCCCGCCCTGCCCGGGGCCTGGCCCACATACCGGTGTAGGGCAGCAGGGCCTCCAGGGAGGCCTGCACGCCCGGGTAGGCCAGGAGCTCTTCCGGGGGCTCGTGCCGCAGCAGCACCCCCAGCACGGCCTGCGCGTCGTGGCAGTGCCTCGAGTTGGTGTTCCACGTGACACAGAAGCGCAGCAAGGCCTCTGTGGGGACGAGGACAGTCGGACCTGCCCGCTGGCTGCCCTGCCCCAGCCGGCCAAGCCCCGCCACCCACCCGCCCCAGACCTTTCTGATCTCGCCGCAGCCGCAGCACCGTGTCTCCCAACTTCTCGCAGGCCTCGGGGTCCCTCCGGATGGCTGGAGGGTGGGGGGTGGGAACCGAGCCTCAGGGAAGGGCACGAGACAGACCCAAGCCCCCTCCCCCTGCCCCAGAGCCCGAGGCAGCACTGACCCTGGATGACCATGAGCACAGTGTGGGGCCGGTCCAGGGAGATGGCCAAGCCCAGTGCCCGCAGGTACCGCTTCTCATGGAGCAGGTTGTCCAGTTCCTGCTGCCTGGCAGGGGGAGGAGGGAGGACAGGGTCACTGGGAGACCTGGTGGGGACTGAAGGCAGAGCCATCAGGAGCTGGCTCAGGAGTCTGCAGCCCAGCCCGAAGCATCCGCTGGTGTGGAGCTGTGTTGTGCTCCGAGCCTCAGCTTCTCCACGCCACAAAGCAGGGGTGACACCCGTATGCCCCCCCACAAGCATGGACGTATGGTGTCACTCAAGGGGACCGGACGGGGACCCCCAGACTCACTTGACCACCTCCTCCTCCCGCCGGGCTCGCTCCTCGGCCTGCTCCACCTCGGTCACATCCTGCGGTCACCGTGAGGTCAGAGGGGCACCCTGATGCGGCCACGCCCAGTCCCCATGGCCCCCAAGCGACCATACCTTCCAGATGACGACGCAGGAGTCACTAGCGCCGGTGAGGGCGCGATCGTCCAGCCGGCTGCAGTGCAGCCCCCAGACCTTGTCCTCGTGGGCGTCCAGGGTCTTCACGCACTCGTTGTTTTTGATGGTCCAGAGCTTCAGGAGACCGTCAGAGCCGCTGGGTTTGGGATCGGGAGGGGTTCAGAGCTGGGGCCCGTCCTGCAGCTCACGCCCACCCGTACCCCCAGCCCGCTCACCTGGACAGCAGCTGGGTGCCACGGCTCACAAAGGCCACCTTCAGCACCGAAGCGTCGTGTCCCTCGAATGTCTGCAGGGTGGGGGGAGGAGAACGTGAGACAGCGCGGGCCGCGGGGTGGGCAAGGGAGGGGCTGGGCCGCCTACCTTGAGGCAGCTGAAGTCCTGCAGCGCCCAGAGCTTGACGGTGCCGTCGGCTGAGGCTGTGGCTAGCACCTGGTCCATGGGCGAGAACTGGACACACCAGAGGCCGCGCCGGTGGCCGGAGAAGACGCCAAGCAGCTGGCACTGTGGCAAAGCCCAGAGCTTGGCTGTGCGGTCCTGTGAGCCTGTGGCCAGCAGCTTGTCGTTGGGGGCAATAGCCACGCTGTTGATGTCCTGGTGATGGGAGCAGGTGGCAGCTCAGACCCCCATCCCAGCAAGGGCCCGGCCCTGCCCTGGCCCCGGCCCTGCCCCAGTGTGCCATCACCTTGTCATGGCAGCGCTGTGTGGCCTGGGCCTGGAGAAGGACAGGACCGCCGTCTGGGGCTGCACCTTTGGACAGCAGGGCTTCAGCGACGGGCCACACCTTCACAGTGCAGTCCTGGCTCCCCGTCACCAGGAAGGTCTCCTTCAGCCTGAGACCAGAAGTGGGGGAGGGGAGACACCCGCTGAGCCCAGGCCAGCCCCGTCTGCCAGCGCATCACAGCCTGGGCCTGCAGGACCACGGTCCCGACCAGGGGGACTGTTCTGGATGCACACAGCCCCTGTCACCCCAACACCCCTCTGAAACCACTTGTCTACTAGAGCCCCCACCACCCACCCTTGGTCCACTACCCTGGTGACTTGGTCACACAACCCCAACACCACCCCCCACCCTGGCAAGGAGTGTGTTTTCTACCTAAGCCTTGTTCGGTGTCATTCTTTCTACTCTGAAGCCTCCCCCGACCTTTTTTTTTTTTTTTTTTTTTTTTTTTAAGTTTTTATTTATTTGAGGTAGAACTTAAAGAAAGCATGAGCACTGGGAAAGGGGAGAGGGAGAGGAAGAAACAGGCTCTCCTCGGAGCAAGAAGCCTGAAGCGGGGCTCGATCCCAGGATGCTGGGGTCACACCTAAGCCAAAGGCAGACACTTAACCAACCAAGCCACCCACGCACCCCAAGCCTCTCCCCTTTTATTCATCCAGCCCCAAAACCACCTGTGAGGAGCTCTGACCTCCAAGAGCTGCTGGGGGTCCCCAGCATTCCATTACACATCCCTATCCCGGAGTCTCAAAGACCACGGCTGAAGCCTCCCCATCCACATCTCCCCGAGCTGGAACCCCATTAGCGGGGTCTGGGCCTCTGTAACACCACAGAGCCCAGCCCTGACCACTTACCTGGAGCAGCAGATGGCACCCACGCCGTGTGTGTGCCCGGAGCCCTGAGCCACACGGGTCACCTTGCCAGCCTTGTTCATCCTCCAGAGACAGATACTCTGATCCTGGGAATCAACAGGGTGAGGACAGAGCCCAGGCGGGGCTTCCCCCATGGGGACCCATACCTCCACACTTCAGATGCCCCACCTTGGCACAGCTGGCAAAGAGCCTCCCCTTCCGAAACACGTCCAGGGCCAAGACAATGTCTGGGAGAAAGGAGAGAGGAAAAGGTCATCGGTTACAGTAAAGGAGGGCATTCCAGCCCAGGATGCAGTGCTGGGGGCATGCGCACGAGGGCATGAGCTCCCTGACCTGTGTGGCCGTGGAGAATCTGGCAGGCCATTGTCTGCAGCTCAAACACTTTCAGGCTGGGGCTGTTGGAGGCCACAACAATGTGGGAGTCCTCAGGCCCAAGAAACCGGACATCCAGCACCTCTTCGCTGTAGCCGGCAAACTGTGAGGGTGGGGGCCGGAGGGACGCCAGTCAGAGCCCGCGTGAGTGGCGGGCTGGCGCCCCCGGGCTTCGGGCTGAGCAGGGGCGGTGCTCACCTGTTTCTGCAGCCGGAGGGAGCGCGCCTCGTAGAGCAGCAGGTTGTGGTCGGCAGTGACGGTGAGGAGCAGGCCAGCAGAGCGGGCCAGAACGCAGCGGGTCAGCTCCTGCCGGGGGCCTGGTGGCTGCTGTTGCATATACACACACTGCCCCGAGGCTGCCTCCCATACACGCAGCAGGCCTGTGTGGGGGGATGTGGGTTGCTGGCATTCAAGTCCACGGACCGCCCCCAGCCCCTGCTGCCCACCCTGGCCTGGGCACACGCACCTTGGTCTCCGGCTGTCAGGAAGTGCAGGCCCTTGGACTTTATACCCAGCTCTGGTGCTGGTTCCTCCGGTAGCAGCACCGCGGCCTCCACGCTCTGAGGATAAGCCGGTTAGAGGCAGCCGCACCCCCCCCTCCCCTCAACTGGCCGGGCCCCCTGGCATCCCCACCTCAAACACTGGCACAGTCCTCGTGGCCTGGTGGCTCCGCAGGTCCCACACAACACAGATCTTGTCTCGGCCTGAGCTGGGGGTGGAGGTGGGGGGGGGACACAGCCACCTCAGTCCCCAGTCTCAGCTGTGGCCCTCCCCTTCCCGCCGTGTGGCCTGAGCAGCTGGCCGCTGACCTCAGCATGGTGTGGCCATCAGCGCTAAAGGTCAGGGAGGTGACGGCACTGTAGTGGGCAGTCATCACGGCCAGACACAACTCGTCCCGCAGCGACCACGCGCGGACGGTGGTGTCTGCAGCTGTGGAGAAGAGCAGCAGGCGTGCGGGGTCCGGGTGGAAGGCCACTAAGCTGCAGGCAGGGGGCGGGGGCAGCAGGTGAGTTGTGTGACCCCGGCCGTAAGGCCCCATCCTCCCTCTGCTGTCCTCTACTCACTGTACGACCCCTGGCGAGCCCCGAAAGTGGTGTGTCCCGTAGTGCCGCACAACGTCCCAGACACGCACTGCCCCATCACAACCGCCTGTGGGAACGTGTCTAAAGTGAAGGGGCTGGTGTGCCTGAAGACCCCTGACTGTGTGCCCCCCAGGGGCCCAGCCACCCCGCCAGGGGCCTACCTGTGGCTAGCAGTGTGGAAGTGGGGTCAAAGGCCATGGTGGCCACAGGGGCTGTGTGTACTGCCTTCCACAGGCGGGTGACGCTGCCCTCTCGCCAGGCCCACTGAGCCAGCAGCAGTGCCCGGCTGGCTGTGACCAGCACCTGGAGAGGGATGCAGTTCAGCCCGGAGAGGAGAGGTTGGGAGAGGCTGGGAGAGCCGGGAGGGGAGAGGTGTGTCCTCAGTGGCCCAAATTTGCATGAGAAGTACGGAGTCCCGGACTCTTACCCCTGCCCTGGCCCCATATACCTCATTGTCAGGGCTGAGATCAAAGGCAGTGATGTCCTCCTGGTCCTCCTAGAGGCAAGAGTCGGCACACAGAGCGCCATGAACACAGGCCAGGCTTCCCTCCACACTAGCCCACTGCCCTGGCTCTTCCCACCCTCACCTGCTCCAGGCTCCGCAAGACGGCCCCCGAGGCCACGTCCAAGATGTTGACTCTGGTACCGCAAATACAGAAGAGATGCTGCCCAGTCTGGTCCAGCTGGTGACAGAAGGGTCTCAGCCAAGATAAGCAACTCTCGGCAGCCCCTGCCCGCTCCACCACTCTGCCCCTCCCAGGGCCAGTACCTGCACCTTCCCGCCCTTGTAGAAGGGCTCGATCTTGCGCTCGACGGCATAGCTAGAGAGAGAACAGTGTTCGAGAGTGAGGCACCCACCCCTTGGCCCCCAGCACCCAGTGCTGGGCTGGGTGCTCTCCCAGAGCTCAACCCAAGAGGCCCCTGCCCCTGAGGAGTTCCCAGGCAGAGGCTGGGATGCAGGGGGTTGGAGGTGGCTCTTCTCACTCTTCTCTGTCAGCAGCACTGAGGTGGGTGTCACAGAGGACGCCAGACCCCGAGCTGGCCGCGATTCACACCAAGTTCTCAGGCAGTCCGGGCAAGGAGGCGGGGTTTCCCAGAGTCCCCGCAGCAGACCTGGGGAGGGTCCCCTGCAGGCGGTGGGAGGCCAGCCTGGGGGACCAGCGGAGGATACCAGCCCAGAGCACCACCCCCCTCAGCAGCTTCCTGCCCCCTCCCCAACCCTAGCTCCTTCCTCCCATTCCCCAAGTAGCACTCCTGTCTGCAGCCTCACGGTGCCTCCTCCCTCCCCTCTCGGCGGCCTCCACGCTGGTCCAGGCCACCGCAAGGTCATCTGGACAGCTGCTCCAGCCTCATCGCCCGGCCCCCATCCACTGCCTCAAACCCTGCTGCCAGGAAGGCCTTTCCAAACATAAACGTGTTCGTCACTACCCTGCCTTAAAACCCTCCCCTGTCCTTACGTGCTTCTAAGACCCTCACTTCTAAGCCAAGGCTCCTGCCACACAGGCTGTCCCCCATCAGTGCGTGGGTCTCTCTTCCCCGATTTCTCTGGCGCCTGGCTCACTCCACTGGGAGGCTTGGCTGCCCGCATGAAATGGAGCCACCAACCGCGAAGCCCAGACACATTCTTGACCCCAAGCCTTCCCTTCGGCAGTGCTCATCGCTCCCACTGACGGAAATGAGCTGCTTAGCGCGCTTACTCCATCAGACCGAGCTGGGCGCGGAGAGGAGTCGTCCCGTCCCGGGCCCTGCACACTAAGATGTTCCCCAGAGTCCCTGGGTTACTGAATCAGCCCAGGATTCAGGGCCTCCAGGTCCACAGCGGACGCCCATCTCCTGAGCTCTCTTCCGGCTCCATGTTGAAGGGAACAGGAGGTGAGAGCCCCGCGCAGCCTGCCCCGGGGCCCAATACCGGAGGCTCGCGGAGACCCGCTGGGGTCCAGGACCAGCCCGCCCCTTCCTCCTTTAGTTTTTCACCCACAAGCCCCGATCGGCTCCTACTGTAATAACGGACGCTGGCTCCGCACTTTGTAATACCACAAGCAACACGACTCCCGCGGGCCAGTTCATACGCCGCCCTCAGGCTCTCCCCAGACCCGAAAGGGCGCCCGGTCCAGGACAGGCACACCTGCCGCTCGGGCGGTGAACCCCGCTCCCTCCCTGGGCGGCACCCACAGCCGCAGCGCCCCGGCTCACTTGGCCTTGAAGCGGCCCACTACCGCCACGGGTTCCGCCATGTCGCCGCCGCCGCCGCCGCCGCCGCGTGAGGGAGACACGGGCGCCACTCCTCACTTCCGGCGCTCCGCAGATGGCGTCACCGGGCACGACGCCTGTGACGTCACCAGCTGCGCGCTCGGCGCCATCTTTGCTGTGGGCAGCCCCTGCTGTGTCAGGAAGCGGAAGCTGGTAGAGACGTCTCCGGCTTGGAGGAACGGGCGTAGAGCCGCATGGGGGCGGCTGGGCCTCCGGGGGCGGCTGAATGCAGGGCCCGGGGTTTGCCCGCTGTTGGTTTTTTTAGTGAAGTTTTTAAAAAGGAGTTGTTGGAAATGTTTACTGAAGTCATCCCGAGGCTCTTGGCCCTCGGCATTCCGGGATTTGGGTACAAGGCCGTCAGGTGCTCCTGGTCGGCTGCGATAGATATGGAGGGTAAATGAATAAATCTGGTAACTTCAGAGCCTCTCAGATATTTATTGATCACATTCTACCTGCAAAGCGCTGTTCTAGACGTTTGGGAGGCCCCGGGGAAGCAGGTGCTAGAGGAGAGAGGGCTGGGGGAGGTCGGGCAAGGAGTCATCGGGAGCGGTGGGCGATTCGTGCTGTGGAAAGAACAGATCTCGGCAACGGGACGGGGCGGAGTGCAGGAGGTGCGCTTTTAAATGGGGCGGTGGGGAAGGTAAGGTGTCGCCCGAGTAGAGCGGGGGCCCCTGTGGCTGCCTGGGGGGACAGTGCTTGTGGCTACAGGGGTCCGGAGACCATAGGGGCAGGAGATCAGAGATAATGGGGTTTCCCTGTGAGGCGTGGGCTTCTCCTAGGAGTTGAGGGCTTTGAGCGGTTGGCTGATTGGGAAGTTGGTTAACAGACTTAGTAGAGGTAACAGGAAGGAGACTGGGAGATCAGGGAAAACCTCTGCGAGGAAGAGGCATCCGAGGGAAAAGAAAGCAGGCAAACGGAGAGCAAGGAGAAGAGCCTTCCGGGCAGGAGCGGCCCAGAGAGAAAGGCCAGTGTGCCCGCGTGGTGAGGGCAGTAGTACCTGGAAGTGGGGCGGGTGGCAAATGGGATAAAGCTGTGAGGCCGGCAGGCACAGAGGCGGCGGGGCGGGACAGGCCTGGGATCTGCGTTTATTTTCCCCTCAGTTTACACGGTACCGTGGCCCTGGGGCCCCCACACCTCGGCCCCAATGCTGCCTTCTGGGGTGGCCTCGGCCTCCCCTTGCGGGGCTCCCATGAGCAGCGCGTCGTCCTCCTCCAGGAAGTCCCCGAGCTGGGCCAGCTGCCTGCGGATGAGAGTGGTGGTGCGGTGCACTTTGCGCATGCGCCGCAGCAGGCCCAGCACCAAGATCCGGCTGCGCTCCTGACGCTGGTTCCAGGCGTCGCGCAGATCCCGGTAGCAGTTGTGGTGTGCACGCTCCGCGGGGCCCAGGGTGGCCCCACAGCCCAGTGGGCACTGCTGCTGGGCCCCACGTTGACAGTGCTGCCGGTGCTCAGCCAGAGCCCCACGTGGCACCCGTGCCGTGCAACCCTCGTTGGGGCAGGCCATCAGCTCGAAAGGGCATGAGTCCTGGTGCCCCCTTCGATGGGCCAGGGGGCACGTCACCAAGCAGCCTGCTTCCGCATTCTTGCACTGAGGGTGACGGAGAGCACCATATGAGCCAAACCAGGTGGGACATGGCCACCCAGCACTGGAGTAGCCTGCTTTACGTAGGAAACCCCCCCCCCCCCCCCCCCGCATCTATGACTTTCCTGACCAGGGAGCCCACCAAGCTCTCCCGGCATCAGTGATGTGGAGGGGGAAATAGTTGGGCAAATGTTTGGAGGTGGGAAGAATCTAGACCTCTGAGAGCAGGTGCACAGGGCGGAAGGCTTGAGGGACTGGGGTGTACATGGTGGGGCTGACCTTGCTGTTGCACAGAAGCCAAGTTTGTTTGTTTTTTAAAGCTCAGTTTCCTCATCGATAAAAATTAGGGGACTGGGGTGATGGCCGGCAGAGAGGACACTTCATCCTCTAAAAATCTTGTATAATCCCCATTTTAAAGCTGAGACCCTAAGGGCTCAAAAAGCTTAGGTAACTTGCTCAAAGTCACACAGCAAGTAAGTGGTAGAGATGGGACCCACACAGGCAGGACTGATGACCTTGAGGCTGCATTCAGCGCTGCTAGACCAGAAACCCTGGGTTCTGAGGACAGGCTTCTCCTTACCCCCTCCCCTGGCTGGAGCGAGAAGGGTGCTGGGAGCGGATGCTTCAGGCTACCTTGACTTCCAGGCGGCCAATCGTCCTGCGGAGTTTATTTACGTGGACCATCTTTTTCCATTTCACCTCTTTCCTGCAGCACGGACAGGTCTTCTGTCTAGGAGGCAGGAATGGGTGGTGAAGAGTGTTGGGAGCGGGAAGGGATCAACACACCTTCCCAGGTGGTCCCTTCTCTTGAGCTGGAAGAGGCCTGAGGGCTTCATGGGGACTCAGTTCTGAGGCTGGGGCCACGGGCTGTAAGTGCCACAGGGTGCGGGGACACACGTACTTTAGTGTCCTAGATTTGGGAGTGGATTTTTTTTTTTTAAGATTTTATTTATTTATTAGAGAGAGAGATCACAAGTAGGCAGAGAGGCAGACAGAGAGAGAGGGGGAAGCAGGCTTCCCACTATGCAGAGAGCCTGATGCGGGGCTCGATCCCAGGACCCTGAGCCGAAGGCAGAGGCTTAACCCACTGAGCCACCCAGGCGCCCCTGGGAGCTGATTCTTATGCCCACTCTGACATAATGCTTGGCCCACCCTCCTCTCTGTTCTGGGCCACAGGAACGGACACAGCCCTGCCTTGTCCTCCCAGCCTCTTGGGTGCCCACTAGCACCTGGTTAGCCACCGGAGGATGCATTTCTTGCAGAAGATATGGCTGCATGGCAACCTCACTGGCCTCTTGAGAACCCCATGGCACACAGAGCACAGGAAGTTGCAGTCGGGAGGGCTGGCGAAGAGGTTGAGATCATAGCCACCACTCTGCAAAGACCAGGCCAAAATCAGGGACTGGCTGAACCAGGATCCAGCCACACACCCAGAGGGAAACCCCAGGATGGGGAGGTGGGCCATGAGAGCCCCAAGTGGAGTAGTGGGTCAGCACCCACTTTGAGGGGGCAGCTTTGAGGGTCAAGACCAAGACTACCAGTCCCCAACTGGAGAAGCTGGCCTTGGCCTGGAGTTAGACCTGGCCAGAGCCCTCACAAAGGCTGCTTTCCTTGTTTGGGAGCTGTTCACCCTTGCTCAGAGTGAGGAGTGGGGTCCAACTCTGGGGAGGTCTCAAATTAGGAACACATTTAAGGACCAGAGGCAAAAGGGACCCAGTCTCACCATGATCTGTGTCCGGATGGCAGCTCCACTGACCCCCAGAGCTCAGGAGCCTCCATTTTACAGCAGGAGTGGGCCGACCTCACAGTGGCATTGTCCAGCTCAGGCCAATCACAGCCCTGGGTCAGGGCCCACTGGGATCCTGTACCATATGGCCTTTGCTCGGAGTCAAGGGATTAGGTAGTCTGGACCTGGGGCAGGTCCCTGAAGCCCGTCTTGGGAGTGGCTGTCAGCTGATACCCAAGCAGCACTAGGCTGGGAACCAAACTTCTGATGACCGTTTCCCCAAAGCTGAGGCTTTGGCAGGAATGTAGGAATTGTTCCTTTCTCCCTTCTCGAATAGTGCTGTCCAGACCAGATCTCCAAGAGCGCAGGGACTTTTGACATTGACCCACCATCAGGTCTTTTAGGATCAAAGACTCATGGAACTAGCCGCAGAGTACAGATCAGGAAGATCTGGACCAGATGACAGAGACCCATGTAACCTGTGGTGCCCAGTCGGTGGGGTGCCTAGTCTGTGAGAAAGCCTTCCAGAAGATAGGCTCTGACCACGTGGGCAGGCCTTTGAGAAGACACTGGGAAATCAATCTCTACCTGGGAAACCAGCATGTTCCCCATCTGGAGTACGGAACTGGGAACTGCTCATTCAGTAGCCCTGAGTACCCAGCTCACCAAATCCTATCCCAGACCCTGTGCCCTCCTGAGAGCAGTAAGGGGACAACACAAGCCCTTGACCTGGGAATCGTACGCTCTCATTTTTGTATCAACTTGCAAAAGAAAACCCAGTTATTTCACTGGCAAAAGCGTGTTTATTTGGGAGTAACCGCAGCTCAGAACGCGCAAGCTACAGCGAAACCACAAGCAAGCCCCCAACAGACAAAACAAAGGAACTTTATTTCATTGAGAAAGAAAGCTGGGAGGGATCTTTTCACGGATCGAAGTCCACTGGAGAATTCAGGGTGACGCCTGAGCTGCGAGAGTAACCCCCACGTCCTTACCTATCAGGGCCTGTAACTGATAGTGAGCCCCAGGGCTCCCCATCTGGCCTCCCGACTCCCCCTGGGGATGTTTCCCTTCATTGTCACCCTCGCCAGTGGGTTGGTGGCCCAGCCCACTCCCCGCAAGCTCACAGGTGCTTCGCTACTGTGGAAGCGATGCGGTATGGGACACACAGCGGGGCTTCAGATCTGGCCCCGCCACCCACGGAGCGCCACGGAGGAGTCAGTGCAACCCCTGGGGCCCAAGTTGCACCCCTCCGTGGCATCCGACGCGGAACTGGGCCGGCCGGCAAGAGGACGTGTCGCAGAGGGTCCCTCCTCCGCTGCACACCTTGCTCCCCGCGCCCAAAGATGCAGCTCCAGGCGGACGGGCGGGGGGCGCCCACACGTGCACAAACTCAGACCGACAGCTCTACCGGGCGTTGGCGGCAGGGCCCCCCTCCCCGCGGTCCTGGCGGCGTGGCCTCACGGTCCGGACATCGGCGTCCTGCGGGCAGAACACGGGGTCAGGGGTCGGAGGCCAGAGCGCACGCGGGCGGGGGACGGCGGGGCGCGTGTCGGGGCTTGGGTTTCACCGGCCCACACGGACGAGCGGGCGGTGAGCTGAGGCCCCCGGTGGCTCTGGGCGCCGAATCTCACCCGCGGCCACGGCCAAAGCCACGGGTGATTTTCAACCAACGCCGACGTCCTGGCTACCACCCAGGGTCGCGCGGGCAGAGGGCGCGGGGCGCGGGACGCGGACCTACCTCGCGGCGCCAGGCAGCCGGGCGGCAGCGGCGCACACGTTCAGGCCCGCGAGGCCGCAGGTGCGCAGGCGCACGCGGAGCGGGCGGGGAAAGCCGGGAACGCGCGGTCTCCGCTCCCATAAGCTCGTCGCGGACGCGCGCCTGGGGCGGGGCCGCCGAGATCTCGCGGCACTTGGCGTGGTATAAAGACTGGCTCCGCGCGACCTCGCTCTTCCTCTCCGAGAGAACACGTGAGTGTGCGGCGTGGCGGCGGTGGGCGCTGCGGGGCCCGCGCGGGTGATCCGCGGCCGTCCCGCGGGGCTCGGTCCAGCGCGCTGGCGCTTCCGGGTGGGAGCCGTGGCCCCGGCAGACTGTATATGCCCGGGCCTCGCTGACCGGCCCACTCTCGTTGTTCCTTTCAGCAAATGGCGGATGACGCCGGTGCTGCGGGAGGGCCCGGAGGGCCCGGGGGCCCTGGAATGGGAGGCCGCGGCGGTTTCCGCGGAGGCTTCGGCAGCGGCATCCGGGGCCGGGGCCGGGGCCGTGGTCGGGGCCGGGGCCGAGGTCGCGGAGCTCGCGGGGGCAAGGCCGAAGACAAGGAGGTAGGTGGGGCCCTCGCGGGAGACGGGTCCTGGGCGGCGCCGATCGGGGCACCGTGGTCACCGAGGCCTTGTTCCGCAGTGGATCCCCGTCACCAAGCTGGGCCGTCTGGTCAAGGACATGAAGATCAAGTCCCTGGAGGAGATCTATCTCTTTTCCTTGCCCATCAAGGTAAGGCGGGGTCCTTGCCCCGGTACGGGGATGGCATCTGTGTTCTGGGCGCAGCGGGTATGCGTGCGCGAGCGTTCTTTGTGTCTGCCGGGGGTGTTCCGCTGAGACGAAATGGGGACGGCTGGAAAACCGGCACGGGGATGCGGGTGGAGGTTCTCACGGGAAGTGTCCCAGGTGGCTCCTGGGCTTTGTGCGGTAAGCGCCTGCGTGGCCGGGTCCTCGCCCCGCAGGAGTCTGAGATCATCGACTTCTTCCTGGGAGCCTCCCTCAAGGACGAGGTCTTGAAGATCATGCCTGTGCAGAAGCAGACGCGCGCCGGCCAGCGGACCAGGTTCAAGGTACCCCAGCCCCCTTGGGTGTTGTGAGCTGCGTGTGCGCAGGGCTCGGTGGGACTCTCTCAGCTCTGCATGGTCACACTTGATACCACGCGTGTGGCTTTCGTAACCGGGAGAGAGAGGAAGGACCTCCTCGGGACCTCCGAGTGGCTTCACAGTGGCCACCCTTTTCTCGAGGGGTGCCACAGATCCTGGGTGGTGGCCTGTGATGGCCGTGCTGGCCAGTGGACCACCAGCCACTTCAGGCTCTTCACAGGCATTTGTCGCCATCGGAGATTACAATGGACATGTTGGTCTGGGTGTCAAGTGCTCCAAGGAGGTAGCCACTGCCATCCGCGGGGCCATCATTCTGGCCAAGCTTTCCATCGTCCCTGTGCGGCGAGGCTACTGGGGGAACAAGATTGGCAAGCCCCACACCGTCCCGTGCAAGGTAGGCTTGGGGGGCAGTAAGCGACGGGGCCTGCGGTGGTGCAGACTCCCCGAAGGTCATCTCCTGATACCTCCACCCTCCAGGTGACCGGCCGCTGTGGCTCTGTGCTGGTGCGTCTCATCCCCGCCCCCAGAGGCACTGGCATTGTCTCGGCCCCTGTGCCCAAGAAACTGCTGATGATGGCCGGTATCGACGACTGCTACACCTCGGCCAGGGGCTGCACTGCCACCCTGGGGAACTTTGGTAGGTGGCTTCATGGGGGCTGTGGCCTCTCTCAGCTCCGCTTAATCATACTGTGTGTGTGCTTGGCGTACTTCCAGAGAGAGAGAGGAAGGCCCTCCTAATGCACGGCAGACTGGCCCCAAGTGGCCTCTCTGTTCCTAGGAGCGTGACATCTTCTGTCTGCACCTGGGGTGTTGTGTCCATGAATCTGCCAACCTTCTCCTGTTTCTCTGTTCCAGCTAAGGCTACTTTTGATGCCATCTCCAAGACCTACAGCTATCTCACCCCTGACCTCTGGAAGGAGACTGTGTTCACCAAGTCTCCCTATCAGGTACTGCCTGCCCACCTCCCTCGTTAGCCTCGACGAGTGCACAAGGTGCTGGGGTGTGGCTACAGCTAAAGCCTTGTATCTCTTCTCTAGGAGTTCACGGACCATCTTGTGAAGACCCACACTAGAGTCTCTGTGCAGAGGACCCAGGCTCCAGCTGTGGCTACCACATAGTTTTATACAAGAAAAATAAAGTGAACTAAAGCTTGTTAACAGTGTTTTGTTTATTTCGCTTATGATCTTAGTCCTAAGCTGGACTTAAAGGGAGACGGAACCAGTACGGTCGTCAGATCCAAGTGGGGGACCAAAAGTGACACCAGGAACAGCTTTCTTATTTAAACTTTTTTGTTTTGGTAGTATCGTTTCAGGAAGGTGCTCAAGGAGCTGCTTTAGGCAGCGGCAGCCTCTTTAGCCGCCTTTCTCTCAGCCAGCATCCGCTGCTTCTGCTTTGCCAGGCACTTCCTGGCAGAATAATGTGCTCCCAGGTCATGATCTGGGAAAGAGATGGGAGGAAATCATGGGCCGGTTTCTACCCTGATACAGACCAGAGTCCTTTTTACAAGTGGGGAGGAAACGGTGATGACACTTAGCAGTAAAGGGACCTTGGGTATGGGGTTCTCTTAATACCCCCTCCCCCAACCAACTGGCAAAATCTGGGCTGTGATGTTGGGGTTCAAGGATCAGACCGGGGTGGGGGCTTGCTTACAGCGGTCCTGGTAAGCCTTGGCCACCTGGGTGAACTGCTCCAGCTCCTTGGCACAGTTCTGCCTGTAGCTCTCACCTTCCCGCTGCTGACAGGCTTTCAGCCTTTCCTGGATAATGTTGACAATTTCTTGATCTACTTTACTGAAAAGAAAAAAAAAGTATTCCCCGTATGCAGAGACAGTAGAATAAAAGCAAAACCTTAAAGCCCTCTTGTCTGGCCCCTCCACCCTCAGAATCTGGGCCAAACCCAGGAGGTCTTGGCCCCTGACCACGGTCCACGGTATCCCTGGGGGATGAGAGCCCAACAGGAGATCCTCACTAAATAAGACTGTTTCTTTTTTTTTTTTTTTTTAAGGATTTTATTTATTTGACAGATCACAAGTAGGCAAAGGGACAGAGAGAGAGGGGGAAGCAGGCTTCCTGCCGAGCAGAGAGCCTGATTCAGGGCTCGATCCCAAGACCCTGAGATCATGACCTGAGCCAAAGGCAGCGTCTCAACCCACTAAGCCACCCAGGCGCCCCAAGACACTGTTTCTTAACTAAGAAAGGAGACCCAAAGACAACATACTAGTTTCTTCTCCACTGCATTTCTGCTTCAAACATGCACAAGATATCCTTCTCCTGGCACTCAGTGATGTCTGGCACACGGCGGAACTCCCGGTGGTAGTAGTAATACCTGTTCTTCGCGTGCTGCCGCTCTATAAACTCTGTAAAGAGAAAACCCCAGACTCTAAAGGCGCCGTTGGTTTGGACAGGCCAGTTAGAATGTGCTCTTAGCTCTGTTCTTTTCTCACAAGCCACGGAAGGGGCAGACTGCCCAAACCTTTCTGGCTTTTACTAAGACTGCCAATTAGACTCTCAAAAAACCAGGTGTGGCTGGGTACTCCTGGGTTAGGTTAACCTAAACCCTAACCCTTCCTGGGAGCCAGGCACCAAGTGTATTGTCCCAGGGGGTAAGTCCCAGTACAGAGTACTGAGGCCCAGAGAGAATTCAGGATTCTGAACCCATGCTCTCCAAGCCCACACCTTTCTACGGGTCCTACTGCTTGCCAACCTCCCCACAACACAGGGTCTGACCAGATGGCAGAGGCCCCAAGGCAGTTCCGCTGCCACTAACCTTCTGGCCTCAACGTCCCCACCCAGAAATTGACAAGCTGGAACTGATGAAATCTCATTCCTCCAGACACATAAAACACTTTCTGAGAAAGAGTGGGTCCGCTGCTGTGCCTTTTCCAGATTTGGGGGTCTGATTTGCTGACTTTATCCTAAAAGTGACCAGGGCATCGCATCACTTGGGCGGCTGGGTTGCTGAATGAACTACTCCGTGAAAGGAATGGATGAACGGCCGGCACTAGTGCCTGAGGGACAGTGTGCTCCTGCCGCCGCCTCCACTGGGCCGGCTCAGCAACTGGGCAACCAAGAGCTGTTTTATTTTTTTTTATTTTATTTTTTTTAATATTTTACTTATTTATTTGACAGAGAGAGATCACAAGTAGGCAGAGAGGCAGACAGAGAGAGAGAGGAGAAAGCAGGCTCCCTGCCAAGCAGAGAGCCCGATGCGGCACTCGATCCCAGGACCCTGAGATCATGACCTGAGCCGAAGGCAGAGGCTTATTAACCCACTGAGCCACCCAGGCGCCCCCAAGAGCTGTTTTAAACACCCGCCTGGTTTGGACTGGAGACGGGGGCATCTGGACAGCCATTAGGCGTGAGCACACACGGACTGCAAGTCACAGCACACCTAGGTTGAGGGGTCCTCGGCCAGCACCCGACCACCCCGGTCATTTTGCGGACGTGCACAAGGCTGGAAGGGAAACCCTCAACACCGGTTTGCAGACTGCCTTCCGTGCAGAACGCAGGATGCAAAGCGTGCAGGCGGATGGGGCTTAGCCACCCCCGGGCCAGACTGCGATCCGCAAACAGCCCTAATATCTGGGCGAGGCCGGAGACCCAGGGTGCGTGGAGGAAACGCAATGATTACTCTTGGTGTGGGAGCGAGGAGCGTTCCTAGAGTGCACTGAAGGTGGGAGGCCGGGGCCCAAGGAGGCGACCGAGCCCGCAGGTGCGGACGGCGGGGGCTGGTCACGGGGGCGAAGCCCGGGGTGCAGCTGGGCATCCAGGCTGGGCGACGGGGTGCGGGGAACGCCGAAGGGCGGCGAGGGGCCCTGGGGAGCGGCGAGGCCCGGATGGGGTCCGTACCTCTAACTAGGGTCACGGGCCGGTCCACGAGGAGGTCGAAGGCCTTCGTCAAATAGGTTATGGGGTTGGGCAGCGAGGTCTGCGGCGACGGCGCCGG